TTTTTATTGAATACTGATGTACTATCACAAGCAAAAAAATCATTAATAAAAAGTAACAATTTTTCTGAAAGTTTTCTAAATTTAAATTCACTTGACTTTTTTGTCATCACTTACATTCTTATTGCTACCAGCAACTTTTGCTTCAGCAGCATTATTCTTGCTTTTGGCATCTGCTAACATTTTGTTGGCTCTTTTTTGCATGATCCAAAAGTATAAACTTGGGCTGAGAGACCGCAGTAAAATGGCAAGGCAAGGCCCAGTAGTTGCAATAACAACTTCCTTTTCTTGCAATACAACACTGTTTAATATTTGCTGGGCCACATATTCTGGTGGGTAACCTCCAGCAGTTGTCTCATCCATAACTAAAGATAGATAAAAAAAAACATAAAATGAGGAGTTTGCAAAAGAAATATATGAATAAAGGGAAGTATATCTGTACATACACACCTCCATACTTTTGACCACTTCCAGTGACAGCATTTATTGAAAGCTGTGTCTGCACGTATCCAGGACTGACGACTGTTACATGCACATTATGTTGAGCAATTTCTGGGCGCATGCTGTCAAAAAATGCCTGTAAAGCATGTTTTGATGCAGAATATGCTGACCTGAAAATTTCCATCCTTTAAGATCGGAGAGGGAATGAATACATATCCTACAAAACAATTAGATAGGGAACTCAAATATTACCTGAAAGGTATGGCAACACGACCTTGTATGCTACTCACTGCTACAATATGACCGGCCTTACGTTGAATCATATAAGGTAAAACTTCTATAAAATTTTACAAGAATGAGGAAAATTAAAACTACAATCCAAACGATAAAAACAGAGGAAAAAAATAATATCCTATGCAGATGTTGGTAAAACAAATGATTCTTAGACTTTACCTTTGGTAAGAGCTATTGTACCAAAGTAATTAACTTGCATGACTTGCATATCCACTTCAAGTTTTGTTGATTGAACACTACCTCGTTGGCTCATTCCACCATTATTGATTAATATGTCAATAGAACCAAAAATTGAGATGGCTTTTTGAACTGCTAATGGAATTGATGGAATATCGGCTAGATCAAGGGTAATTACAACTGGTTGATGTGCTGGAGCCACCTAAAATTTTAACAAAAATTATTTGGAATGTCATCTAATGCAAAGAAAAAACAAGGGGTTGGAAAGTAGAAAATGACTGACAGAAGTATGAGCTCGTAAAAGATCATCTCGAACTCTTTCCAGTTCCTTTTGTCTTCGCGCAGTAAGAATGATTTTGCAGCCTGCCTGGTAAAATTGATGAGCCAATGCCTCACCAATTCCTGAACTTGCACCAGTTATCAATACGACCTGTTAAGTGTGTGAAAGTCATTAAAAAAATTAGATGTGCTCAGTATAATGACTGCAAAGGAAACTTACTCACCTTGCCTTTAAGCTTTCCCTTTAGAATTCGCAAGCGATAATGTTTGTACAACTGCATTGTGATCAATGGCACTGACACTGGTATGCAAAGTGTACTAATAATCCACCAAAGGACTTGCCAGTTCATTTTTTTCGCCTGGTTCAAGAAATATACAAAATTAAATCACTCGGTTTCACTCGGCATTCATTACTGTTTTATCTTACGCAACAAGAACCTTATCATGCAGCCACAAAATTGAATGGGCACATTATGAGGAAAAAAAGAAAAAGGACAGAGAGATAAGAGAGTGCAAGGGTACTGAGGCCGAAAAGATAACTTGAGTCTATAATCTGTGTACTGACAAGACTTAACAACCACAACCTTAAAGTAGCAATTTTCGTAAAACAAAGAGGTAGTTTGAGTTGGGTTTACCATTTTCCATATAATAATGTCCTAATTACACGATAGTCAACAACAGAGTAGAGGCTCCTTTGTCAGATTCAAAATATTCGTGTTTTTAAGCTCAAAAAGGGGTGTGAAAGATAAATGCAAACACAACATGGTTACGACGTCATTCGACCTCTCTTTACGACTTCGAGAGTTCGCCTTCGATTCCGTGTCCGTGTGGCTGTGGCTCCAGCTCCAAACGGAAACTGCATTTGCCAAATGACTACAGTTAGAAAAGTGGACGTTACACATGGACGTGTTATTGCGTTATTGATGAAAAACAAACCTCAAGCAAAATGGATCAAGATCTACTGAAACGAATCGCAGGGCTAAGTCAGGACGCGTTGTTTGAAATGAAAAAGCTCTTAAGATCCAGATGCGCTGATAGACAGGTGAGATAGACACATCAAAATCATATGTCAAAATTCAAACCCACACAAGAGCGTGGAGGGTTGGACCATACTTAAAGACTCCACGAGGAAGTTGATTTGTGATGATTTTTGATTTTCCACGTATAGCTGTCTGCGGCAGATGCACTGGAATCCTGCTTGCGGTCCGAGTCTCTGTCACACCGATGTCCTTTGAGAGAGTTTATGTTGGAGGAAGACATGGTGGGCTTTTTGTGTGACGCCATGACCACAAATTCTTGGCCACTGTTGGAGTAAGTCAACCTGGGTAGAATCACTCCAAAATGTTGCGGCCCACGAGAGCTATGCAAGGGCAACACGGTAGAACTGTTTCTTCACCTTGCACCTATCTCCGGCAGGCGCCTCACTTCCGTCCTGGAGCTACTGTCCGATTCGGACAAGATGCTGCAGGAGGGCCACGCCGTCCTCGCCGCCGAGGCGTTGCAACGCCGCGTGCACTTCCTGGGGCTCATGGTGGGCTCCTCCACGGATTGCGAGTCAGCACTGCGCGCCATCCTGGGCCTCCTGTCCACGCTGCTCCTCAGGTAAGCGAGTGCCGAATGTCGGGCGGTGTATCCGGTGGCCCGTTGTTCATCCATCCTACCTATCGGTTCTTCCAGGTGGAAATCTTTGAATGTGCGGCGAAGAGGGGGCGTGTCCGGTTTGTGCACACCTATGGGTATGCTCTCCACGCTGCGCCTCGTCCTGGAGGCGGGGCTCAAGGACTCCACCTCCGCGGCGACAACCTTGGCCGCGGCGCACACTCTGTGTGGCCTTATAAACCTTGTCGTCGTTGGAGCCGAACCTGGTGACCCTTACAGCCTTGCGGCCTCTATCGCGTCGTGCGTGCGAGCGGCTCTCGCCTGCCTGCATCGCCTCCTGGAGGAGTCGGCCGAGGAAGCGCCGCGCAAGGACGATGACGAAGACGAGGAGCAGCTAAGAAGCATGGCCTGTGAATGCGTGCTGTCGCTCTTGACGCACATCATAGGGTGAGTGAGGCGAGCGGCGAGCCCGGGCGCTCCATTTCCCCATACTGAAGGAGCTCCATGTTCCAGTGCGCGGGTCGCCTGCGAGGAGACACTGGGCCGCGAGGACGACGCCCTGCTCGTCTTGGAGAGCCTGGAGGACGAGGTGCAGGAGGCTGTGCTGGAGAAGTGCCTGCCTCTGGTCATGAGGGAGGCGACCGCCGCCATCAAGGAGAGCTTGGGGCCGGAGGCTGCTGCGGTGAGGAGAGGGGAGGTGTCCACTTCCACTTGTATCGTTTGCGTTGCGCTTTTGCCCGGGTAATCTTAGTTGTGCCTCCAGGGCAGCGAGGAGGATGTCCTTGCCGGCCTGCCCGCGCTTGTCGGTGTGTTGCTGGACTCCCTGCAGACCAGCTTGTCGAAGGGCAAGGACCCGGTGGCATTATCTGACAGGCTGGTCTGCGAAAACTTCCTGTGGCTGCTGCCCACGCTGCACCGAGTCGAGTACGTACAAGCGCCATGCCCAGTGGCAATGTGCGGCTACCACAGTACAAGTTTCCTTTTCCTTTATCCAGTCCAAGCTACGGCGCCCCCTTGCGCCTGCTCTTCGGCGTGCTGGCGCACCTGGCGCACGATCTCCTCGACGCCGGCTCCTGGTGGGAGGGCGGCGCAGAGGATCTGGCCTCCTTCTTGGACACAGCTAAATCCGTCCTCCCACTCAACAACTGCGAGTGGCCCAACATTCTGGAGATGCATTCCTACACGCCACCGCTGCCCTCCGCTGGGCCGCCCGCCGCGGCTCAACTCCTCGTCCTGATGCTCGCCTACTTCCGCTTCCTAGCTGACAGGTAGAAGCCACCCCTCCACATTAAATAGCACCAAAACTTGCAGTCAACTGACCGTTCAGAACTCACGCCGATGCAGCGACTGCGACAGGGAGGAGATGCTTGCCCTCGCTTGTGGCCTGCCAACCTACATCCAATCGCTCCCGGCCCGCACGCCCGTCAGCATCCTCAAGATGACGTGGGTCTCGTATTCGGTGCGTGCCGCACTCACTCTACAATAAACCGCGTGTGGTGGGTCGGTGCTCATCGCGGTCCTCTCGCACAGGTGAGCTGTCTGATGGCGGAGGAGGCGTCAGCCGAGAGCCGCGCGGCCGGCACGAGGCTCGCGACGCTGCTGGAGCAGACCGAGAGCGTGGAGCGCGCCTACACGCACCACCCCGCCGTCCTGTTCTGGGCATTCCACGGGCGGAGTGGCATGCCGCCCCAGCTCCAGAAGACCGTCGCCGAGCTGTGGCTTCGCGACGGCGACGCGCCCTCCAACGTGGCGCCCATGCTGGAGCTCGTCGCGGCCCACCCCGCCGCGGTGCACCCTTTGCTGGTACGGCCTTCGCAGCTGGTCAGCCCCCTCCCCACGGCATCCTCATGCCGGCCGGTCCTGTTCGCAGGACGTGGTGTGTGACGGCGTCCCGGAGGCCGCGCAGCGAGCGGCGCGTGTCCTTGCCAAGGCGGCCGCCTCCAGCGGCACCGTGGCGGCCGACCTGTCCGCGGGGCTGTGGGTCCGCGTGCCCGTCGTGCTGTCGAGCTCGGCCTCCCGCCCGGACCCGGCGGGGCGGCAGGACGGGGGCTGCGGCCTCCTGGTGTGGCTCGCCGCCGAGGTGTTCCGGCCGCCGCCAGCGGACATGGTTCTGCGCGTGGCCAACCTCCTCGGCGGCGCCCTGGGCCGGCAGAGGCTGGGGTCCGAGCCGCACTACCTCTCCGCCGCCATGTTCATCCTCCGCAGGCTGCTGGAGGACGCGCGATGCCGCAGCGACCCGCGAGGTAAGCACGGCGCCCGCCGGGCCCCGTCGAGGTAGGCAACCCAGCCGCTACGACGCGCAGCTGCGCTGTGCGTGCCTACGCGCCGGGGGCTGACCTGGCTGAGCGCCTTTTGGCTTGTCCCGCAGTGCACACGACGCTGCTGAGCGACACGAGGTTCGCGCAGGCCCTGCTGCTCGCCGCCAGGTACAAGGACGCCCGGACCTGCACCGCTGCCCTGGATCTCCTACGCCTGCTCGAGCAGGACAACGCTCTGCTCAAAGTGCCAGTAAGTGACTAGTGGCTACACAACACAGTGACGGCCTTTCCTGATCGAAATTCGCGACCTTCTGCTTTCCCACTCTCAGGTCGTACAGAGCCCGCAGACATTGGAGATGGGAGTTGTTCTCTTAGCCGTCAACAGTGTGCACCTCGAGGTTTTCGAGGCAGGCCTTCTCCTGCTACAAGAAGTGCTAAAGCCTAAAGAGCAGTCGTTCGTAAGCTTGGAACAGAACGAGAAATTTTTAAGATCGGTCTACTTCGTTTTACAAAACAAGGCTATTAAGGTACTCCTACGGCAGTACAAATTGATCATCTATTGACATATAGTGTGCTGTAAATCAATTTCTCAATCAGTTCAAAGATCTGGCTGCTCTTGGAGTCACCGTGTGGACAGTGCTGAGGGAGCTCTTGTCGCAGAGCGAAATGATCGTCCACCAGCCTTGGAACCACGTACTCGTCAGCTTCACACTCAAACAAGGCCCAATGGACGAGGCGAGCATCGAAGTCTTGGCTTTCCTTTTACGCTGGCTGAGCTTGCTGGCTCCTACAAAACCCCCGCAGCCGACACCTCGGTAATATTTAAGAGGTATTTGGTGAATTATAACAATTATAATGATAATAATTTAATCGGTAAAATGCTGCAGGCGTCCGTTGCGTTCGATGTTAACTGAGACATGCATCGAGATTGCAACCGCTTTGGTCAATGCGGATAAGCAGTTCCAGGCCAGCGTGATAGCACGGGATATCGGAAAGGCGGTAAGGAACATTTAACTCAGTATTTAGTATATGTAATTGAAACATTCTAGAAACATTGTTTTAAAATGTTGTAGTTGCTAAGAGTTACGGCGAATCTTCCGACCAGCCTACATCAAACTGTCGAAGAGATAGCTACTGAACAGTGATCAAGAAATTATTGCTTATTTACATTTTAATCAAATTTTACCGTAGGAAGTCTTCCAAATTTAATTCAGTACACACACGGGTTGACATTAACAAATCAAAACGATGCAAGTTTTCCTATTCTAAAACTATTATAATTGATACATCACAACAAATCAAGTATCATTGTTCCACATCACACGAAAACTACAGAATTCTTAAGTTCAGACAAAATAATACTGACGCTTAACTTTCATCACAGATAATCTTATTTCTAAGTACCCAATTACCAACGAACGGCACAGATTACGTACGTGAAAGGCCTCATTTCAATATGGAATTTTGGCCAGCTCCGCACTCGCAAGTAATCCTATCAGGCAGGCCTGCTCGTTCCCGTGTTCGAATACCGGCCCCAGAACCTTCTCTCTTCCCCCTGCCCGCGTCGTTCTCCTCGAGCCCGCTTGACCTGCGGGGGAAGCTCCCCAAGCCTGCTTAGAACTTTTTGTCCGTCTTCCGGTCGACGTGCCTCCTTTGCGGGGAGGGAGCGGAGCAGAGCGGAGCAGAGCGAGCGGGCAGCCATCGACCCATCGCCTCCTTCCCTTCCCCGACCCTGCCGGATTACTTGTGCATACATCAGGAATGTCCGCAGTGGCCTGGCCATGGCCCGGCGGCCCTACACTAAGCTAACGAGGAGGAAGCCCGGACGTTTGGCACCGTTATTGGCACCGCATTCCTTATCACGGCGTTATCAGCTATTGACGAGCAACTAATGTAACAATAAGTATATATAACAACAAACAGATTCATCATCACAAATAGCGTCGTCCGCGACGACACAATCTCAATCATCGCGTGACACTTTAAACCAAATAATAAGCTTATGTCATCTGCGCTAGCGCATGTAGCTCAGTGTAACCCTGTAACGTCAAACGAACTCGTGCTTTAGTGCTTCGTGGCCCCAGTCCCAGGGCCGCGCCTGGTCGTGGGCGTCGGTCACGGCCGCTGCCGGTGCACCCGCTGAACAAAGCAACCCTTGAACGAGTTGAGACGCACGTCGATCTCCCCCTCCTCCAACTGCAGGGCAAAAGTAATGAGAAATGTGTTAGGAGAGACGGGACCCGAGTCGCATTTCAAACAGACGTCTAGTCGATCTTACCTGGTCGGACTGGTAGATCTCCGAGTAGCAGGAGGGGGAGACGCACTCCCTGACGCAGCGGACTCTGCTGATTGACACCATCTGACTGCAGCTCGGGCTCTGCTCACAGGCCGACTCGTACTCGTGAAAGGCCATTTCCTATTGATGAACACATTAATAGTAAAATAAAGGAGAGTAAGTCCGAGGCGGTCCTGGACACGACAAAAATATTCCATTAAGGTGTTGTCTCGAATACTTACGTTTTTACTTGTCTCCTTGTAAGGAAATTCGGGGAAGGAAAATACGACTTTGTCGGGCACTGCGGCAGCTGATAGGACCAGTGCGGCTAGGAGGCAGCAGAAAGTTAGGTTAAAGACGGTCATGTCTGAACTGCTCTCTGCTGCCGGCACTGCACTGACTCGGTGCGACGGTGCGGTCTTCACTGTCGGGGTCGAGGACAGGTCGCACAGGTTCGCATTTGTCACTCCACCAGGTAGGGGATCGCAGATAAGTTTTCCCGACGCGATCACCGGGCCCGGTGTCCCCCGCGTCTGCTTGCGGAGTCTGCCGCGGACGCTGCGGCGCTGATCAACTACTCGTCGGGGAAGTCCACTCCACTCCCAGGGCCGCCCCGGGCCGAGCCCAGCACGAGACACTCGGACAGGCGCGTGCACTCTTCTAGCTGAGTCTCTTCTTCGCGACGTCTCTTTCGACGACTCGGATAAAACAGAGCGGCCCCGGTGAGCACTGGACGGGGCGGCGGCCGCAGGCCGGAGGGGTGGGTGCGATATTGATCGGGGATGGGAGTGCGGGGGTGGCCGCCGTTCGGCCGCCGTTCGGCCGCCGTTCGGTCGCACTCGGCACTGGCGGAAACGGCCGAAGTGTTTCGCGCCACGGCTTCGGAGCAAGTGCCGCCAACCATTGCGGAAGATCCCTCGGCGGTGACGGCAGGGAGTGCCCAGTCGACTTTGAAATGACCGAAAGAGCCAAATTGCCAGGCGAAAAAGTTTGCGATGGCTCACTCCTCTCAGCCCACGGCCCATGGGAAGTGCGAAGGTCGCGTCTGTCAGGCGCACCCGACTCGCGCAGGGACGGGGTAGAGATTTAGCTGGGGGAGGAATGGTACGGGTCCCGCGTGCAGCCCCCGCCGCCCCCTCCGCCCTCGCCGCG